GTGAGGAGAAGAAAATGTCCTTCCAACATAGACTTTGGAGTGACAGAAGGAGACCGCAAAGACAAGGGGAAGCCCTGGAGGGCTCAGGGCGGAACTGTCAGAGAGCTTAAGGCATAGTTACCATGGAAATGAACACTCACAAATTCTTGCTATTAAAAACAGCACTTGTCTCTCTTTCTCTCTGTGTTTTAAATGAGATAGGAAGGGTGGAAAAAAGACTCGAAAAGACAAATTTTTCTCAACAGAAAACTAAGATTCGGAAATACCTAAGGAAGTTGTATAAAGGAGGTCAGTAAAGGAAGATGGAGACAAAACTGAGGTGTCCTTAGATGGGGCTTTCTACTCCATGAAGAGTTACAGTCTTGGAAACCCACGGGGCAGTCTGCCCGTCCCACAGAGTCCCATGAGTCAGAACGGACTCAATGACAGTGACTTTCTTTTTTTTCTCTCCACCGTGTGCCAAGGATTGAACCAGGTCGGTGCTTCGTGTACAAAAAAGAGTGAATTCAGCTGGTCATGATGATTACATAACGGATGTCAGCTTACTGGAAAAGAACAACAACAACAACAACAACAACAACAACACCCCCACAACAAATAAAACACCTATCACTGGGTCCCAATGCTGCTGTTTCCTACTTGGAAAAAACATTTATATCCTATTGGCTTCTACTACTCACCAAGTAGTTGAATAGAATGTGGGAGGTCTGAGCTGGGAAGTCCCCAATATTCAGGAGAAGTTTGCGCAGCATGTACATTAACTCATCCTGAAAGAAGAACAGATTGTTCCCCACTTTTTATTGTGACTTACATGAAGATCTACAGCGCAGATTATGAGTTTTACATTCAGCAATTTATGCATATTTTGTTTCCCCTCATCCATTTCGATCCTCTCCTGGTACCATTGCTTGTCCCACTTCCTCCCAGTGCTTCCTGCGTGCATTCCTTCTTCTTCCCAACCCCGTCCTTGGGTAAATGCTGCCATTGTGATCTTCCATGGCTGACTAGTTTGACACATGGGTAAGTTCATTTTCAGTCTCTAGCCAACCAATAAGCTAGGTTTCTTTTATGAGTTTGAGTTCTAAGAAGAAGAGAATCTTTTTCTTTTAGATCCTTTTGTTGGGGGCTCTTACAGCTCTTATAACAATCCATATACCAACTGTATAAGCAAATTGGTACATAC